TTTTGTTTCCCCGCGGCGTCTTATGTCCCGGGTTTGGAGACCACGGGCTCCCCATTGTTTGTTGACTATAGAGCTAATGTCACTAACCACAACAACCACATAAAGAAGTTACGTGTTTTCCCGTGGAATGATTACAGGGTCCGTGGTATGGTGAGGTGGCCGTGGGTTGTTGTTGTTGTTGTTGTTTCTCACATTAGCTCTATAGCGGGAGTCCGTGGTCTCAAAAACCGGCACATACGACGCCGCGGGGAAACAAAACGAAAATAGGGTACAAACCACTCGGAAAAAGAAAAACAAAATGATAGAAAGCAAAGAACAGGTATCGCATCGACCGTTCGAGGAAAGAGCCCTCGGAAACCGATCAAAATAATACAAAAACCAAAAAAAGGAGGACGCTTCCCACACCCGGCCAAAGAAAAAACCAAAGGGTAACGTACCAGCACCAGGCACTACGCACCAGGGCATTGAAGTAACGGAGCAAACAGGACAAAGAGGCGGCAGGTGGGCAGACAGCCAGACGTACAAAAACAACGGCAACAGCAAAAGCGAGATCAAGGTACCCAACCCAACAGAGTAGGCAGGGAGGTCATGAAAAAACTAACCACAGCACAGAGGCCGAAGGCAATACAAAGGACATACATGAAGGAGTATGGCATACAGCAGGGTGGGAAACAGGGCGCAACAACATCAGCCGGGTACATAGTTCGCCAAATGTGCTGCCTCGGCCGCCCTACTCGCTTCTACAGCAGTACTTGGTCGCCCTTTCTTCCCGCCCACCGCCGCTTCCCCGGCTCTCTTTCTCTTCGGTCGTGAGATGACCGTACTCTCTGCTTCTGCTTCCCTCGCGCGCTGGCGCCTCGCGGACGCTTCCGCCTCCTGCCTGTGCCATTTCCTCATGAACCATGCCGCCCCGTCCTCGACCTTGTTGTACCACACCTCCGGGTCCTTGGCGCACTCTTTCCATTTAGCCCCTTCCTTTTCGTCTCCCATGTTGAAGGCCACGAGGTCCTCTCCTAGACGAGACACCCAGTCGCTCTCCTGCCCGCCCCGGTATCCCACGCCCCCCGCCATCGCTCCTAACAGCATGCGCTTGGGGAGGCGGTTGTCCTCCATGCGCATAACAAAGCCCGCGAAACACAGTCTCCGTTTGCGCACGGTGGCCTCGATGGTTTCCTCGCAGCCTGCCTGGATGAGGGCCTGGGCATAGGACAGGGGGCGGTCTGAGCGTTTCCGCTTGCTCCAGCCGATGCACCGTGTAAGGAACTGGCGGTGGGTTTCATTGAGCTTCGCGTAGTGCTCCGTTGTTAGGCTCCACGAGGCGCACCCATACAGGAGAGTCTCCACCACTTCAGCCTGGAGAAGCCGGATCTTGAGCTGGCGGTCGGCCCGTCGCCTGTCGTACATCGAAGCACTGTTCCGGCGGTAGCACTTCCACGCTCGGCAGCTGCGGCTCGTGATCTCCCGGTCGGCCTTCCCGTCCGCGGAGATGGTACGTCCGAGGTACACAAACCGATCTGTCTGCTTGTACGTCTGGCCGGCGGCGCTGACCGTGAACGGGTGTTCCTCGATCCCTTTTGGCAGCATGCACATGATCTCCGTCTTTGGCTCCGACACCATCAGTCCGAACAGGCCGGCCACGCGCACGATGACCGACATCATCTTCTCGAGACTCTCCGGCGAGCGCGAGACGATGGCCGCGTCGTCAGCGTAGAGCATGGCCCACAAGGCCTCCGCGTCTATCACCACCGTCGTCTTCTTCCCCGCCGACCTTCCCTTGTTGCCGGTGTACTCCACTTGTGTCCCGATCTTGATCATGTTCGCCGTCACGTTGGGGTCCTTGTCGAACTCGGCCACGGCGACCATGAGCATCGCGGCAAAGAACAAGTTGAACAGCAGCGGGGCCAGGTTGCATCCCTGTCGGAGGCCTTGGCCCACGTCGAACCATTCCGAGTACTGCCCGTCGTCCGTTCGGACGCGCGCCCTCATGCCCTCGTGGAAGTGGCGAATGACCGCCAGCATCTTCGGGGGCACGCCGAAGCGTCGGAGCACGTCCCACAATAGGTCTCGGTCTACCGAATCGTATGCCTTGGTGAGGTCGACGAAGCACGCGAACACCGCAGTACTCTTCTTCCTCGTGAGCTCATGGAGATGCCGGATGGCGAACAGCATGTCGAGGGTCGACCAGTGTGGGCGGGAACCGCTCTGCTCCTCCGGGAGGATGCCGTCTGGCTCGCAGTAGTGGCTCAGTCGTGTAGCGACGACCTTAAGCAGCACCTTGCCGGCGTGTGCGACGAGAGGGATGCCCCGGTAGTTGCCGCACTCCATCGTGTCCCCCTCCCTGAACAGCACTTTGATGATGGCATCCTTCCACTGCTGTGGTACGTCCCCAGTCTGCCACACGTCCACGACAATGGCGTGGAACTCGCGGAGGAGACCTTGATCTCCGTCCAGGAAAAGCTTGATCAGCTCAGCCGGTAGGTCGTCCGGCCCGACGGCCTTTCTGTTGGCCATTTCCCGTACCGCTTCCTCAACCTCAAGTAGAGATGGGATGTCGTCGAGTGGCACGTACGTGGGCCACTGCTTGACCTTGTCAGCCGCATGGAGGTCGATGGTTGGCGACTTGGTGTTGAGAAGCTTGTGGAACCACCGTGCCCACCGTTGGGGAATAAACGTGGGGTCCCGAAGGACCTTGCCGTTCTCGTCCTTGATGTTCTGAGAGGTGAACGACCTCTTACCTTCGACGTCGATCATCTTCAGGTGCCTGTAGAAACCCGTGGTGTGATAAGGGGTATCGGTAGGAGACCAATAACCAGACACGGGTATACCCGGGTACTTTATCACCACTTTAGGGTACACTTAGAAATCAACACGCTCGCACCCCCAGGCTGTCAGCTGATTGGCCGAAAAACCATTGTACCCATTTCTGAAGAAACCTCCATCAGGTACAACTTCCACTGGAATTTGGACCCTCCATCAAGATCACCACCAACTAAGACCTGTTTTAACCCCTTTTGGGCTAAATCGACTTTTGGGGCCATCTTTAGGCCCCATCTTTTTTTCATTATTTTTTTATTATTTCCGTTTAGTATGCGAGCGATTCCAAGCTCCATCTTTCGTGCGATATTTGTTGAAATAACTCTCTGGCGTGATCTCGTGCCTTGCGAGACTGTGAGAGTGCGGCCAATGGTAATCCGACGAATGTCGTATGCTATCATGGGCCGCACGCCGCTGCGGAGCTTTAGGATGCAACACACACACGCCGCTGCGGAGCTTTAGGATGCAACACACACACGCCGCCACTCGTGGTATGCTGGTGCGAACCCCGGTTGGCAAGACAAACACATGACATCTTGGGAACACGATGCAAAAAAGCACGGCCGATAACTGCTGCATGCAGCCTCAACGCGTACTGGCGGTGGTCTCCCAGTTATATCCCCCGAGGGCACCACGAAATGCAAGGTGCTGGAGGTAGCAAGCGATGGTCATTGCGCTCTGCACAGCATCTACAGGCTGCTGCACCCCGAGTGAGATAGCGTCTTCGGTGCACTTGCAAGCGAGACAACACAGACCCGCAAAGCCGTCGCCCTCGAAATGATAGCTGCTGTTTTCTCTGAGGACTACGAGCAGCTAGTGGACAACACGGTGGTGTCTGGCGAGGAAATGCTGAGACTTGGCAAGCTCGGCTACGAGAGGGGTTTCTACCGAAAGCGCACCCCCTCCGCCGGCCGAGCTGCAAGCGCTGTAAGACAAAAACCACTGAAGACTGTGCGACAGGTGGTGGCGGGCATCGATGATCAACTGGAGCACGATTACTTGGCAGTAGGTCGGCTAGCGTTAGTAGCTGCGGTGAAACGTTGCAATATCGCGGTCTGGGAAGCAAAAACTGGAGGTAGACTTCGAATCGTGGAATAGACGACACCACGGGCTGTTTCGTTGGCGATCTTAATCGGGATGAGCATTTGCACCTGGTGTGCAATTACTTCGGGGGCTACAAAGCAGCTACGTATGCTGCGGGTACGGCTACAGTGCGCACCCCAACCAGCAGCAACGTGGCGGAAACAAAACTCAACCACTTGAGCGCCATCGTGATTCCACAAGAATCCGTCCCATGGGCAAAGCCGTACATGCTTCAACGGCGATCCTCTGGTCGATCTGTCTTTGGGCACGAGAAGCCTCCAGACAGCTTTTGTCCGTGCCCAACCACATCGGAAAAGCGTCCGATGAAACATCAGGGCTCTCCCATGCCGATCGACGTGGATGACGAGACCGAGACAAGCAGCAGCGTGCGATCACGACGTTCTGCTGGAGGTTCCCGGCCCGTCAAAACGGCGTCACCCAGGGATGTATCGGAGCGGAAGGCAACGCCGCCTGGGAAAGCGGTGATGAAGCCCACGGTACTTCCTTCCGCCAGTGGCATATTGGCAACAACCAGGTCGAAGGATAAGCCCATGTCGAAGAAGAAACGACTCGAGCTCTACAGCAGCAGCGGAAGATGCTGCGGGGTCGGAGACGCTAGAGGGAGGTGGTGCCGGCGTAGCTCCCTCAAAAATGAAGCGTGGAACGCGGGGGCGCCGCAGCACTTGCACTGCAAAATTCGCAAGCGGCCCTAAGCAAGGTGAGCCCTGTGGGGCCGAAGCGAAATCTCCCTGCGGTATATTCTGTAACAAGCACAGCCGGCAGGGTAGTCGGAGCCGTACGTGTGATAGGGGTGGACAAGGGGGTGATGACGAAGAGTAGTTCGAATAGGAGCCTGAGGGGGACGACGACATGAGTGACGGCGGTAGTGAGGGCGAGTTTCCGGGGGACGCAGCAGACTACGACCAGGATGTATTCGTGAGTGGCAAGAGCCCTCAGCAGGTCTAGGCGATGGTGGACGAGATACAGGAGGCCTGGGGTAAGGTGGCCCTGACTTTCATCTTTGGGTTGGTGCAAAACACCAAGCAACTCGTGCAAGACCACAACGTAAGGATGGGCGCATATTGTTTTCGGTGAACGCTAGCCGCTGTTGAGCTGTCAAGTGTTGTCGTTTGTGTATTGCGGCAGCACGAGAGGCACAGTAGTACGACTTCGCGTGGTCAAATATCTATGTTTCATATTCGTGGGCGTGTCGACAACAACTATATATTGTACATGTCACTGAGCGACGGGAGGGTGGTAGGGGTACTCATTCAATAAATAATCGATAGTCACCACGTTGTGTATGCCTGAGGCTCGAAGGAAGGGACCTCTCTCTTTGCCTGTTGCTTCTCTCACTGCTGGACAAGATCCGGTACTTGTTTGTCACATTTTGCGGCATCAACAGAGTGTATGGTAGTGTTGTGATGTGCGAAGAGCCTTCTCCGTCTGTCTGTCTCTCCGTGCCCCCTCCCCCCCTGACTCTCTTCTTCTTTGTCTGTCTGTGTCGCTCCTACGCCTCTTTACCCTTGTGCGCTTCAAGCCTGCAGACCTGATACCCCTGTTCCCTCTCTTGTTACAAGAAGGCCAGGTCGGAGGTCGAGGAAGACGCTCCGAAAGGGGACGACACAGGCGAGGAGCAAAAGGGAGACGAGGCCCTGGATAACGCCGACGAGCACTCTTGGACAACCCGGGGAATGAAGACAGATATAGATTGGTTGGCGAGATACGATGGCGCCCTCAGCGGTGGTCATGACGCCCGTAGTGGAGCACGCGGCGGGAACTGCGACAGCACCGGGAGCGGCGCCGCGGGGAATGGGGGTGAGAGAGAGGGCACGGCAGACGTTGACAGGAATCGTGCCGGAGCGGGAGGCGGTGCCGCGGGCTCGTTTGAGGGCGATGGTGAAGGGAACGGCCGCGATTGGAACGGCAACGGCAGTAATGTTGGGAGCGGAAACGATGGGAACGGTGGCGGTGGTCATGAATTTGATTTTGACGGTGAAGGCTCCTACTGAGGAGACTAGCACCAGTACTACGACTGCCACCGTAAAAGGGAGGGAGAGAGAGAAGATGTAAGCGTCAAACCGTCGAAAAAGACATTAGACGCGATGCGTGCGTTCGACCCAGACAAGTTGGGCAGGTTTTCGGTGGACGAGCTAGGCGAACTCGCGTTCACCTGCTTTAGCATCATGTTTCCGGCCGCGGTGATACTACTCCTTGTCTGGAGTGCAACCACCTAACCCATCACGTCGTTGGTCATGCGTTGGATTGCATTCCTAGCTTGGTGGGGAGGGGGCTGGCCGTCACGTGTTCATACCATGATCGAAAGGGTTGGAGTTGTGGCCCATGGTACCACCCTTCAATACCATTTTTCTCCACGGTGGTGCAACACCACCCACGCCATACCCGACGCCGTCGACTGTTTTTTCGTTCGTTGCCTGAAAATGGCCCGCCGTTGCGGCAGCCAAACGAGTACTTCAACTTCTGTCGAAGCACCAAGAACCCTCAAGAACAGGAGCAGCATCACCGCAAGAAAGCGAGGAAAGGTAAATCCAGCTGGCCGAAGAAGGGCATCACCAAGAGCATGATGCACGGCGTCATCGGCATCATCCTCGCCATCGGACTGGTCCAGTTGCCAGCGGTGTGACCACTGGATCTGCCACTCCTTCCACGACTACGAGCTCGTGCGTGCTTGCCGACATGTTCCTCCTGATCTACGGCCGTTTCTTTCCCATGGCAAGCTCGGGCGCTCCTAAACAATTGCAGCACGGGAACACGGAGCCCGGTTGGGATTCGCTACACCATATCCGGTATGAATTGTGTGGCTGGTCTGTGCATGGAGATTGAAGATATCTCTGTGCTATTAAAATGGGTATTTTGCGCCCGGATTGGAGTACGTGGCCGTGCCTTACGAAATTTGCTTCGATTTGTTCCCAACGACAACATCACAGATGTCGAAGATAGGGGCTTGTCTTTCTGTCT